TTTTTTTTGGCCGCGTCCCACTCTATGTGTATAACATGACGAATTCGCTCACCGTCCTCTCGGATAGAACCAAACTTCGAGAATGCTCCTCTTTCTTGAGGACCGCCAGAGTTGTCGTTGTCACGGGTGCGGGAATCAGCCGTAGTTGCGGAATACCGGTAGGTGAAAAGATTCCACCGGGTCGAGTTTGGTGCCGGTCTCACTCACGAGTTTAGGACTTTCGCTCTCCGGGCGGACTCTTCTCTCAAACGGCCGAAGAAGCTATATCGACACTCGGCCAACCCGGACAGTGCGGGTTTCCCGATGACTTCGCCGTGGTGTCTGTTGCGCGCGGTGTGAGCGGAAAAGATCTGTTCCAGGTCGATCTTCTAAGAACGGTACGTGGGTGGACAGTGTTCATGCAATTTACAGCCGCCCTGTACACCAGGCTCGGCGCCCTTGAAGAGGCGAGCGCAACTCACTGGTTTCTTCGCTGTCTGCATGACCGGGGCCAATTGATCCGATGTTATACACAAAACATCGACGGACTTGAAGCGAGGGTGGGCCTGTCGACAGAGCTCACAGAGCAGACGGTCAGTGGGGCGGACGGTATGACTCGATGTCCGATCATTCAGCTGCACGGAGACGTACGCTTTGTGCGTTGTACGATTTGTGACCATCGATCGAGTTGGACAGATGAGGCTCGTCTGGCAGCACTCAAAGGCGACACCAGCATCACCTGTCCTCGATGCCTAGACGAGAGACACAACAAGCGACGTGCCCTGGGCAAGCGAGTATGGGCCTGTGGCAGTTTACGCCCGGATATTCTACTCTATGGCGAGACGCATTCAAACGACGTTCTGTTACAGTTGGCCCAGGAAAACGACGACGGCCTTCGACCGACGGCACTTTTGATCATGGGATCTGCACTGCGTGTGCCAGGCTGTAAAGATCTCGTGAAAAGATTTGCGAACATGGTCTCTAAGCAGAATGGTCGGGTAATATCGGTGAATCCGACTCGGCCGTCTCCCAGCCTATGGGGACAGATTATCGATGATCACTTTTCGATGGAATGTGATGACTGGGTCGGAATAATACAAGATCACTGGGCCGATGACGGAGACACCGCCCTCGGCGATAGAGATATCCAGTCTTTGAGGGTAGCTGCCGCCACCTCGAAAGGTCGTGGTGGACGCAAGAAGGAGCGAAACAGGTCGAGGGGAAGGAAAGAGAGTATGGAGCTTGAAACACCGGCGGCAGAGACGATGCCGAAAACACTGGCGGAGGAGAAAACAGCGAAAGCTTCAACAATCGAGGACGACTCTTTGCCCACCACTTATCGACAGCGATGGAGAATGGATATGAAATACCTAAAGGAGCAGTTCGACGGGCACTGAGAGCATTTTCCGTGTGTACATCAGAAGCACTTGGAGTCTAGAGTCAAGCTTATGACACACATGAATCGAAACAGGTGGTCATGTTGACATGGATTTCTATGCGCTATCCTGCACGCCATACCAAGACCGCGCAACAATATCGTCAATACCAATCTGGTTGGCAACCGAAAGTAGATTACCTCATCGTGGTCGGGGTGGTCTGTTGATCCATGATTTCATTCAACTCTTCCAGATATTTCGCGC